ATGGTTTTTTCTTCTGGCTTTTTTTTTTTTGTGTGGTTTGCGGCAACTTGCGGCGGCCGCAGATTCGATTCCTGTGCTCTTCGCCTCATCATCCTTCGTGTGCCATGAAAGATGAGTGGCGGCGGGCTCGATGCTTGACCTTGACCTTGTTACTGTTGATTTTTTTTTTTGGATGTCCCCTTCCGTCCCGTGATTACGTTTGCGCGCCCTGAAGTACGGACGATGCTTGTGTGTAATTATTAATAATTATTGCTTTCCTTTATTTTTGGTTAATAAAGGAGTAAGGAAAGCAAAACTGTAGTGGAACGTGCATCTCAGAGAGAGATTAATGTCTAGAAATTTGTAATTAGCGGATGAAAAACAGCGCATTTAATGAAGGGAGAAAAAAAAAAAAAAAAAACTATAGTGGAATCCCAGCTCAGTTGGCACACCCATCAACTGTCCAAATTACGGACGCCAGTGCGGGACCCACGAGATGCAGACGAGTAAAATAGCTTTGAATTCATTTACCGAGGGTCGGTCTTTTTTTTTTTTTTTTTTTTAACATGAGGAGAGAAAATTCTGAGGTCAGTACGTCCAAGGTCTTCTCCTCTCTCTCTCTCTCTCTCTCTCTCTCTCTTTTCCTGTGGCTTTCTGCTGTTTCTCTAGCATGGGCTTTTGTATTTGCCGTTGATGTTCTTTGTTGCCTTTTTAATTAATTAATTAGTATTATAAAAGAGAGAAATTGCATAAATCGCGAGGTAAAAATAAAAGGCCAGATGTCACATGCAAGTAATTAATTGCATGCGTGAGTCACTTGACCGTTAATCTTTCTCCGTTGCCTTTCGTTTAATTAATAATTCAAAATATGTTTTTTTTTTTTTTTTTTTTTTGAATGAATTTGTTGTATTTCATTTTTCTCGAGGACCCACGTCAATTAGGTAGTACCGTATTATGTACATTTGATTTTTTATTGTTTTGTTTTTTTGGGAATTTATACATTGAAATTACAGAAAAGGGCATACCTCACTCGTGTTCTTTTCCTCAATCAGGTTGAATGTACATTGACTGTAATATTTGCCAGATTCACTCTGGAAAATCCTACTGTGTCCTCTTTAGTAGTTTAGGAGAGAGGAGAATACCGTCTCATGTCTATAGGAGCTTTTGCCGTCCATCGATTTCGCCGTCAATTAGAGCGTGAAGCCCGAATAATAATTTGTTATAAATTTATATTATAAATTTATTATATTATATTATAATAAAATCCAATGAGTGAACCGAATCGATGTTGTTATATTTTCGTTTTGTAATCGAATCGTTCAGGCATTTACTTTCCAATAATGAATAAGGTAATCATTTTTTCTAATTATGTTTTAATTATGTTACAAACATTTTTTTTTCGATGATGTCTGGGGTGATGTATCAATTGAATTGAATGATTGATTGATTGGACATCCATCCGCCCAGCATATGTTCATCATTAGTTAAGCCAATCAATGTATTTGGTGTTTGGAGAAGGAGAAACTAATTACGATATGTATATCAAACAAGCAATGTGTTGATTAATTAAGTCAATCAGTCTATTTGCTGATTTCTGGGATTGATTGGCTGATATTGATTGATTGATTGATTGATTGCTGATTGGAGAAGGACAAACCAATTACGATGTGTATCAAACAAGCAATATGTTCATTAATTAAGTCAATCAATCTATTTGCTGATCTCTGGGATTGATTGGCTGATATCGATTGATTGATTGGTTGGTGTTGATTGTTTGGTACTGATTGATTGATTGATTGATTGATTGGCTGGAATTGATTGATTGATCGAATAGAGTGACTGAGAAGACGAACAAATCACGATATGGCAAGCAAACAGTATGGCAATCAATGAAAGTCAGATGACGATCAAATCACGACATGGCAAGCAAACAGTATGGCAATCAAGGAAAGCTAATCAATCTATCAATCTATTCACTGATCACCGCGGTTGTTCGGTTTGATTGATTGATTTGACTGATTGATTGATTTGATTGACCGATTGATTAGTTGGTTGCTCTGGAAGAACCTCCGTATGCCGTCAGTGAACTTAGCGGATAATAATTTTAAAAGAACGTTGAAGGACTCGAAAAAGGTCAGTTAATTACTTAATTGGGTTAAATCATATTGTTAACAAAGGGGGATTGATCTTGTCATGGCCGATCGGTTAATTAATCAAATCATCAACTACAATTACATCAACCAATCAATCGATGGCCGATGGGTTAATTAATTAATCAAATCATCAACCAGTCTCATCCTACTACGATCATGTAAATGAGTAATCAAGGACTGCAATTATTACATCAACCAATCAATCAATCGATGGCCGATGGGTTAATTAATTAATCAAATCATCAACCAATCTCATGCGACTACGATCACATAAATGAGTCGTCCAGGACTGCAATTACATCAACCAATTAATCGATGGAGATATAATGTAGAAATGATCGAAGTCTTTCGCCAACCAAGCAGATAATATGACCAGGGGGAACGAATTACTAGTCAGTTAATTCTCAATTAGTGAATGAAATCACCATCCTTCAGTTGATTGATCAATCCATCAATTGATCAATCAAATCAATCAAATCAATCAAACGAACCAATCAATCAAATTAATCAATGAATCTAATTAATCAGTGAATTCCTCCATCCCTGCATCTGTCCCTCCATCCCTCCATCCCTGCATCTGTCCCTCCATCGCTTCACCAATCAATCAATCAATCAATTAATCAATCAGTCAATTCATTCATTAATCAAGCAATCAATTCATTCATTAATCAATCAATCAGTCGCTCAATCAAAGGTATTATTCGATGAAGCTGCTGAGCAATCAATTCGTCTGCCGCCAATTGGCAAACTAAATATAGATACAGAGGAGGAGGTTGATTTGTCCGCTGCAAACGCGTATAGATCAAAGGGATTATTCGATGAAGCCACTGAGCAATCAATTCGTCTGCTGCCAATCGACACAATAAATATAGATACAGAGGAGGAGATCGATTTGTTCGCTGCAAAAGTGTATAGATCCATGATCCAGGAAATCAGCAAATCATTCAGCCCGCCAAAAATTAACTAGTTAGTCTCCGCGGCAGATCAATGCATTCACTTCAGTCCGCTGGCCACATCTTGTGTGGCCTGCACGCCCAGCACCTCTGTACGGACTTGCGCGCCATCACCTGTGTACGGACCTGTGCGCCCAACACCTGTGTACGGCCAGTTATTTGCTCAGGTTCCTCGAAAGCGCCACATATAAGCCTGCACTGACGTGGATGATCAATGAGGTGGTGTTAACGGATGTGCGCGTACACGCACGTGTCCTCTCGAAATCGAATAAAAATAAAAAGGGGACTTGTTTCCGAAAATGAAGACCCTGAGTTCTCCCTCTTTACCCCTCTGGCCCTCTGGACGTATTCCAGAGGCAGAACTTTGTCGCTCGTCTTAGCTAGTAGACTCTGTTTTATTTTCCCTCTTTCGCAGTGAACAGACTGGCACTGAGCAGAGGCAAATCTCTCTCTCTCTCTCTCTCTCTCTCTCTCTCTCTCTCTCTCTCTCTCTCGCCGTACACCCGTGAGTGATGAGTTCCGAAGTAATACTCTGTCATGCCCATGCTGAAGCATTCGCAGCTAAACTGGGCTGTGCTTTCTTTTTTTTGGCCTGGACTGTGTTGATCTTGAGGGAATTCTTTTTTTTTTTTTCCTTCCCTTTCTTGTTTTCTTTTTTACTGAGGCATTTTGCGATTTGTGCGTATCATCGTCGAAAGCGCAGGAGCCATGCTCATCTTCTCTTCTCTGTATCTTTTTTCCAGTTTTAGCGGATGTCCCCGAAGCACTGAGGGAGTTTTCTAATATCCACAGAAGAATGAGTTTTGTTAGGCATGTCCCGAAGAAGATACTGATTGTCAAAAAAAAGGCAAAAGAAAAAAAGGAAAAGGAAAGAAACAAAATGGTATATACTGATTGTCTTTTTTGGCTAAAAATAGATAAAGTGCACTGTATCTGTTCGTAGGAGGTGGCGAGCACACAATACCTGCTAAAAATAGATCAAGTGCACTGTACCTTTCTCCAAGTTTCTCGGCCTTTTGGCTAAAAATAGGTCAAGTGGACTGTATCTGTTCTTCGGGTCAGTTTAATATCTGATCCGTGCACTGTATCTGTTCTCCCTTTCAGTTTAATATCTGATCTGTGGCCCATCAGGCCACCGAAAAAAAAAAAAAAAAAAAAAAAAAAATGGTTCGTGCCACTTCGTGGGGCATACGAAGTTTTACGAACAAACAATGTTTTGGCGCAAAGCAATTAGCTTTTTCTGTTTTTTTTTTTTGGGGGGGGGGGGAAGAAATCGGATAAGGTTGATTGTCATTTTGTCCTAAGGATAAGGTTGTTCCACCTACTCACCAACTGGGCGCTCCCTTCTCCACCTATGCACGAGAAATCGAGCTGTAGTAGATGTGCACTTTGGTGCAATCTACCTGGAATAGAGGTCAGATGCAGGCGGGAAAGTTCTCTGAATGAGGTTAGAAATAGGAGAGGGCATGGAGAGAGAGAGAGGGAGAGAGAGAGAGAGAGAGAGAGAGAGAGAGAGAGAAGGGAGGGAGGAAGGAAGCTTATCCCTCTCTGCGAGCCACTCCTTAGGCAGCAGTCTTTCGTGTGCAGGTTTGCGACTCATGTACCGTGGGGCCCACCTCTTCGATGTGCGAAGCATCGGGAAAGCTATTTGGCGGCGATGGACATATCCATCACTCATCCATGTCCACCTTCGTCCTGCCAAAGCGCCGGTTCCTTGCATGGCCCAACCCCCCCTCCATCTGTCAACAAGAAGGTGCCGTCGGTCTTCTTCGATCCCCTACCCTTAGGCCTGCTGGTCATGAGAGGGTTCGGTTGATTCGCTTGTCTTCCACCCCGGTCGGGGTCTTGGGACTGGGACTTGCGCAAGGAGGCGGTGGTTGCGGCCTACAACGGCATGTTCTATCCTCCCCAAGGAGCAAGCCGCCATATCCCTGTAGCCAGGGCCGCTATGGTGGCACGTGCTATGGCGGCAGAGATGGCGGCGGAGATGGTGGCAGCGATACGCCAACACCAAGTGAGGTAGGCATGAAATCGAATTCTGCTCTGGCATCTGCAGGGAAGAGAAACCTTCTGATGACGTCAACAGATAACGAACAGGAAAAAGATAACAAGCAGGAAGAGGAAGAGAGATGGAGCCGTGGCCCACAAGAGGGTGACAAGATTGGCGAAGACACAGAAGAGCTGAGAATGCCGGGGATTCATCGAAGAGGCTTGGATGTCAGTAGTAGTGCTACAGCAGAAGGGTTGAGAAGTGAGCAGCTATGGTTGAACGATGGAGACGGCGAAGAAGAGGAAGATGACGAGGAAAATGATGTGGATGATGAGGAGGATGCATGGGATGACGATGACATCGTGGCTGAAGAGGTGGTCGAGGAAGAAGAGGTAGTGGATGTGCAGGATGAAGAAGACGAGGAGGAAGAAGAAATTGAAGAAGAAGAGGAAGGAGGTATGGCTGATGAGTATGTTGAGATAGGTGTTGTTATAGGTACCCATGGGTTGAAGGGAGAGATGAAAGTGCGATCGCTGACGGATTTTCCGAAAGAGCGGTTTGAGAGGAGGGGTAGGAGGTGGCTCCAGCGGCCATCCATGAGCAGAGAGCCTCCGGTCGCAGTGACACTCGTGCGGGGGCGTGCACTTCAAGGCAAACTTCCGGCGTACCTTGTCACCCTGAAGGGGGTCGGGAGCGTGGAGGAGGCCTCGCGTCTGGTAGGAAGCAAGGTCCTTGTGCGGGCGGACCAACGGCCGAAGCTAGAAGAAGAAGAGTTCTACACCCCGGATCTTGTAGGCATGGATATCGTCCTTCAGTCTTCGAGGGAGAAGATTGGTGAAGTGGTGGACGTGTTCAAGGGTCCTGCGAGTGAGCTGCTTCGCGTGCGGCGGACGGCGATGACCACTGCAGCAGCGCTTTCGCCGAATGGAGATGCGGGCAAAGTGGGGCCCGCCACTGAGTTCTCTGCAAGCACTGAGGTCGATGCGGAGAGCCAGGGGGAAGAGGCCCAGCAGGCGGAGGATGGCCGTCTCATATGGATTCCCTTTGTGAAGGAGATCGTGCCGGTCGTGGACATGTCAAATCGAGTAATGGAGATAGACCCCCCAGAAGGGTTACTGGACTTAAATTTAAGGCCAGCGGGGTCGAAAAAGGAGCGGACTGAGAAGAAAAAGCGCGAGTATAAGGAGAAGAGGCAGAGTCGCCAGAAACGGGCTGCCTTGAGAAAGGTTTTTGCTGCTGCTGGCCAAGAGCACGTGCTACAGGGTCTGTTTGAAGGAACAGAAGAGCAGAGGGATGCTCTCGTACGCGACCTGATGACGGTCGATCTGCGTGCTCTGAAGAAGGCTGTTGCAGAATCCCTTGCGACCAGAGATGCGCTGAACAGACTCGAAGGAGGAAAGATCCCTGTGGCGAATGCTACCGGCGAATCTGCAGTCGAGCAGCTGTGCACCCATGGCCTCGAGCCGCCTACGGCATACGTGAAAGCGGATTGGAGTCGGGTGGGTGAATGGCTACACAAGCTGAAGCACCAATCCGATGGCGAAGAACTCTCTGGCGAACACAGTAAAGACGACAATGAACGGTGGTGGTTTTCGGGCCTTCGGCTGATTGCTGAGGGCCGGGCTGCTGTGATGGTTCTTGCCGGTGGACAAGGTACCAGACTGGGACCAGGTGGGCCATTGTCGAAGGGCATGCTTGACATCGGGCTCCCGAATGTCAGGTCCCTGTTTGAGTTGCAGGCGCAGAGGATCAGGAAGATGCAGGATCTTGCTGTGCAACTGTCCCGCAAGTCCTCCGATAGAACGGACGGCTGTGCTGACGAGTGCGCGGAGATTCCTTGGGTGGTTATGACGAGCAGTGCAACTGACAAGTGCACCCGTACCTTCTTTGAAGACCACAATTTCTTTGGCCTTGCTCCGTCCCAAGTCCTGTTCATGAAGCAAGGCAGCCTGTCTTGCGTCGAGGTTAGCGCCGATGGCTCGCACAGGATTCTGATGGAAACACCCTGGAAGATAGCACGCTCGCCGGATGGAAACGGGAGTCTTTTCGATGCGCTTCACACTGAAGGGGTGCTGGAGGAACTAGACAAGAGAGGGGTGGAATATTTGCAGGTCTTATCTGTCGACAACGCGTTGGCCAGAGTTGCTGATCCTATCTTTTTTGGATTTTGCCATGAGAAGGGGGCAGAGGTGGGAGTGAAAGTAGTTGCGAGAGCGTCTCCTGACGAGGCGGTGGGAGTCGTCTGCATTCGGCATGAAGCGCCGAGCGTGGACAATAGCAGTAATGGAGAACAACCCGAGCCGTCCGCACGAACTCGTGCCGTCCGCACCGCCGAGAGAACGGAGGAAGAAATAGAGGGAGGGAATTCCGAGTCCCAAAGACGCAATGAAGGAGAGGAGACCGGGCCCAATGGGGTTGATGCCAAACGTCAGGAAACTGCAGCATGGGATGGAGGAAAGGAAGGCGCGGACTGGCAGCGTTCCTACTACGGTGTTGCAGAGTACAGCGAGCTTCCAGATGATCTGAGAAGGGCCACCCGCTCGGCCTTTTGGTCATCGAAGCGTAGTACCACCGCTAGCAGTGAAGAGGAAAAGAGAGTGGCAGTGGACACCGGTGGCGGTGGCGATTCCTCCGCAGAGCTCGCGTTTCAGGCAGCGCACATCTGCATCAATATGTTCTCCATGTCTTTCCTGCGCACAGTCGGCGGAAAGGGAGCGTCGCTTCCGTATCACGCCGCGTTCAAGCGGATACCCCATGTCAGGAAGTTGGAAAAGGGGGAAACGCCAGAAGACGGCGGGGGAGAGGGAAGAAGAGAATGTGAGATGGCTCCTGGTTGGGTGTCGATTTCGCCGTCGATTCCCAACGCTTTGAAGATGGAGAGGTTCATCTTCGATGCATTCAAGTTTGCACCTCTAGATAAGGTTGTCTTGCTTGAGGTGGACAGAGCGGAAGAGTTTGCGCCGATCAAGAATGCTGTGGGGCCGAACGCGAAGGATTCTCCGGAGACGGCCAGGATGCTACTCATGTCTGCGGCAGCACGGAACGAAGGGAACGGGTGGGATTTATGTTGTTAACTTGTTAAATTCATTGTCTGCTTTCGACTTGCACTGTCGTTTCGTAGTCGATAAAATAAGAACATCTTTTCGGTGCTCTTTCCTCAGAGTTCAAGTTACCTTTTGGTTACCTTTCCCATGATCTTTCGGCGATCATTCGGCGTTCTTTCTGCCCTGCGGTCAATCGTGTACGCAGCTCTGGTTTACAGACACAGCTGTTGCAGATTGTCACAATGTCACTTTTCAATTTTCAGCATCTGTCCAAGCAAGTTTCAATTGCTTTCAGTTTTGTCGCATTCAATCAAGTCACGCTTTTCCTTTTCTGCAGAACTCTGTTCAATCAACTTCAAAATTTGAATTGAGTGCAAAAAATTTCCAAGAGGTACTGATTTCATGTCCACTGAGAAGAGCTCAACTACTCTGATTTGCCAAATGCCTGCAGGCCTGCAGGAGTGCAAATTCCCAACAGGTACTGATTCTACTGATTTCGTCGGCACTGAAAAGAGCTCAACTACTCTGATTCGCCAAACGCCTGCAGGCCTACAGGGCCTTCAGGCCTGCAGGTCAGGTGTGAGGTGTCGTTTCCACGCCCTGCTGCAGGTCTATCAGGAACATGATTTCATGCATTTGATACTACATAAAGTCTACATTGAAGGAACTCGCTAATTTTTCAGGACCGAGGCTGTCTTATGCATCGTAATGAACGACCCTTGTGTTTTGTACGCAGAGGATGAGGGTAGGAGGGTAGGGAAGGGGGAAGCCTTTTATAGCAATAAGCAGCAACCAGTTAGTGGTGACTTGCAAGTAGGACGCCGTCTCCAGGGGTTGAATCGATAGCATTCGCCCATAGGAAAGACCATATTGCACTGTGTGAGACTCTTCTAATCGGGGAACCCTTCCCTTGCGCCCGGCACCCGCCCCACCCCCCCTTGCGCCCCCTTTTCTTCATCTCTGTCGAGGTGTGGCCACACATGTCTTGTGGAAAGCCAGACCCTTGTTCCTGGCGCACACATACAGATCTGTAGATGCTGGTGTGTCGTGTCCAGTCAGTGGAATGTGTGTGTGTGTGTGTGTGTGTGTGTGTGTGTGTGTGTGTGAGAGAGAGAGAGAGAGAGGATGCAGACGATGTGGAGGACGCAGAACCATCAGGTCTGTGGCTCCCCACACCCTCTTCCACTGCTGTATCAAGCAGAGGACGCGGAGCAATTGCGCCGATCTTTCTGCTGCGTAACAATGGCTTATTGCTTTGATTGACTGATGAGTAAGCCATGGTTTTGCAACTGAGTACTTTTCGTTTGACTCATTTTTACACCGGACGAAGTATTTGTCTATCCTCGAGCTCTGCGCGTTTTGTGAGCTGTGAAATTCTGGAAACGCCGGTGTAAGTATCGGAATTCCGCGGTGACGTAATGGCATAGTGACGAGTGTCGTCGAACTTGCTGGGATTCTGTTGCGGATTCCGCGGTGACGTAATGGCATAGTGATGAGTGTCGTCGAACTTGCTGGGATTCTGTTGTGGATGGAAGAGTACCCAGTTAGTACAGAAAAATTGGCACCGTGGTAGTCATGTTTGCTGTGGGGAGAGAAATCGGCTAGTACCGGGTAGGGAATCTGCATGGAGGAGGAGGAGGAGGAGGAGAAAGAATATCTTGTTGTTCTGAACGAATACTGTGAAAAGAGCAGGGCGATAGGTGTGTGTGCAGGGAATCTCCAGGGAGGAGAAGGAGAAGGTGGTTTTGTTCTGCTGTGTTGTGAACGAATGGTGAGATGGCTACGCGTGTCAGATTGCAGATGCTGCTAGTGCATTGCTGAAAGTCTGGTGTTATATTCACAGCGTGTGCCTGAGCAAGAAATTCTGTCTGCCTCTCTCTCTCTCTCTCTCTCTCTCTCTCTCTCTCTCTCTCTCTCTCTCTCTCTCTCTCTCTCTCTCTCTCTCTCT